TAAATTATGGTAGTATAACAAAGAACTAGAGTATACAAAACTTATACTTATAGAAAGAAATTACTATTGTTTCCATAAAGCAATACAAAAAGAAGAAGACCAGTTAATTATATTATACAGAAAAAAATAAACAGTATAATAGTAGAATTAAATATAGCTAACAAAATAAGATAGTTACTAAAAAACAGATAAAAACAAGATGCTAAAATAAAGCAAAATTAGAATTAGATTAGAGCAAAAGACTCTAAGAACAAAAAAAAAGTTAACAAAATAGCACAATAAAATAGCTATAAAGTCTATAGTAAATCAACCCATCAAAACTACTGTAGCAAACTAATACAAGATAAGAAAGAAAGCCAAAAAAGAAAAAAAAGATGCAAGTTTGGCAAAAAGAAAAACAAGCTGCTAAAATAAAGTCAAAATTAAAACTAAACTGAAGCAAAAGACTTTAAAAACAAAATAAAATTCAACAAAGATTGTATAACAAACCAATATTAAGAATTCTAGTAATATAATTTAAAATATCTGTTGAATTCATTGCAGCAAACCAATATAGGAAAAAAAAATCAGAGAAGTAAAGAAAAAGAGAAGCAAAGGACAAAATATCAGAGATCTTATAGAAGTAAAATATTAAACAAGATTCAAGAAGAAAAATATTATTAACAACTTTAACAGAATAGTTAATAGAAGTAATATATCAAGCAACACAGGTCAAATATATGAATAATGGAATATATCTATATAGTTCTATTATTTTGCCGATATACATAAGAGGGCAATATAGAAGAACCAATAATAGTAAACTAACAGATATTAATATTTTAGTAAAATAAAATATAAATATCAGTTATATAATAATAAACCTTTTGTTTCATATTATTATCCCAATATTTAACTTGCAAGTTCATAATATTATAGCAAGATATAGGTATATAAAAATGTATATAAAAATATACTTTTTTAACTTTATTATTATTTTGATATTCAACCTAAATATTTATAGCATTATAGCAAGATATAGGTATATAAAAATATATATAACAATATTCTTTTTTTAACTCTTTTATTATTCCAATATTTAACTTACAAGTTTATAGCATTATAGCAACATATAGGTATATAAAAATATACATAACAATATTTTTTTTTAACTCTTTTATTGTTCTGACATTCAACTTGCAAGTTCATAGCATTATAGCAATATATAGATATATAAAAATATACATAATAATATACTTTTTTTAACTCTTTTATTGTTCTGATATTCAACATACAAGTTCATAGCATTATGGCAAGATATAGATATATAAAAATATATATAATGATATTCTTTTTTTAACTCTTTTATTATCCCGATATTCAACTTGCAAGTTTATAGCATTATAGCAACATATAGATATATAAAAATATACATAACAATATTCTTTTTTTAACTCTTTTATTATCCTAATATTTAATCTAAACATTCATAGCATTATAGCAAGATATATGTATATAAAAATATACATAATGATATTCTTTTTTTTAACTCTTTTATTATCCTAATATTCAACCTGCAAGTTCATAGTATTATAGCAACATATAGGTATATAAAAAATGTATATAACAATATTCTTTTTTTGACTCTTTTATTATTCTGATATTCAACCTAAATGTTTATAGCATTATAGCAAGATATAGATATTTACAAATATATATACTGATCACTTTTTAACTCTTTTATTATCCTAATATTCAACTTGCAAGTTCATAGCATTATAGCAAGATATAGGTATATAAAAATGTATATAAAAATATATATATTTTTTTTATTATCGTAATTTTTGGTACAATATATAGTCGATTCTCTCTAAACACATTTCATTGGGACCAGACTTTTAGCAATATGCATTAAGAGAACAATTAAGAAAAATGCATTTATAGAGATCAAATATATATGTGGGCCTAGAATTTAAACCTGTATTTAGAGAGAACATGCATTTAAAGAATATATATTTAGAGGAAGTTGACTGTATATGGTTTTCATTTGCAAATGATAAAATATATTCATATACTTATATATCAGTATACTTATATATATATATTATTTGCACTTTAATAATATATATTAAAAAAAGTTTCAATAACCTGATATCAAAACAAGAAAAGAAAAGGGGGTTTTTTTTTTTTTTTTTTTTTCTTTCTTTAATTGTTTTTTTTTTATTTTTTTATTTTTTTTATTTTTTTCTTTTTCTTTTTTTTTGTTTTTTTTATTTATTTTTTTTTTTTAGTTGTTTTCACTTTCCTTCTTCTGATCTTCTAGTTCTTTTGGTTCTAATATATATTGTAGAAAGATTTCAGTATTTGCAAGAGTCTCTATAATTTCAGTATCATCAGCGTTAGGATCTTGATAGTTAATATCAAATGCGCTGATATTGGATTTTTGATGACTAGAAACTTTAGAAGTTTCTTCTTCTAATATTAAACAAGGATTCTTATAGAGGTCTAAACCAGAAAAAGTATACAAACACTAAATAAAATTACTTATAGCTGGTATCTATTACTATTTTACGATAGATACTAGCAAATAATTTTTTTTAAAAGTTAACTGATACTTATCAACAATTTTTCTCTGCTTTACTTTATCAATTTTAGCTTCTTTTTTACTAACTTTCTTTTGCTTTTCTTTATTAATTTTAGCTCCTTTTTTATCAACTTCCTTTTGCTTTTTTTTTTATCAATTTTGGCTCATTTTTCGATACCTTTCTTTTGCTTTTCTTTTTGCTTTTCTTGATTAGTTTTTTTAATAATTTTATTAAATGTTTCAAAAATTGTTGGTTGGCAAGTGCTTTTTGTCAAATTCAAATTTAATATTTTAATATGATCTTTAGCTAAATTATATCTAAAGATACAATGACTGGCTATTTTTAGCTTAGTTAGCTAAATCTAAAATAGCTAGTCGTTGCTATTCCTAATTATACCTAATTTTCTAATAGTCATTATATTAATAGGCCATTTATCTGATATTACAAAATGATAATTTACTAATAATATATATACTCATGGTTAACAAAAATGATAACCCTAACCACTATGTAATATTAGATAATAGCTTGTCAATGAAATGACTATTGTGAAGATAAGAAACAATAGATAAACCAGTTCTAGTTGAAACTCTTTTTGTGTGAAACTGCATATAATATACTTTATTTAGAAAGTTACTAGACCTGGCAATAGGATTGTATTCTTTATCAGGATTATCAGAATTATTATTATCAAGAGAGTTAGCAGAATCATCAAAGTTTTTATTATTGCTATCAGTCCTGTCTGTATCGATATCAGTAGATTAATAAATTAGAAGGTGATAATAAAGTTCTATCTATTAAACCTGAAGCTTTCTCTAGCAATATCTGAATATTTTTTTTATAGATGAAAATTCTTCGGTCAACTACAAAATATCTTTCAACTAGAAGTAAATTGAAAAAAATTATTATTATTATTATTAAAAAAAATAATAATATTTTTTTTTTATTTTTTTTTTTTATTTTTTTTTATTTTTATTTATTTTACTAAGGCTGATGTTTATGGAGCTACTGCCTTTATTTGTGTTTTAGTTAATACATTACATATAACTTGTACAAGGTGAGTGTGCAACTAGCCACACGTGCAACTTTTGGTTACCTAATTTAAGTAGTCCGCCCAAAGGTTCTACACTAGCTACCATACCTGTAATCTGCTAAGAGATTACCTATTTAAACACTCTGATCCTAATACTACACCCAGGCAAGTAACACCTGGCTCCCGTACAACTAGGTGCCATCTAACCCAACACTAATAGATTCTTAGTATACATCTTGCTGCTACTAAAATTTGTTGTTCTTATTTATTTTCAGAAATTTCTTTTTTAGTTTGCTTCTCATGATTTGGCTTCTCTATTGTTGTTGTTTTTCTTGTTTTATTTGTTACATGTTGCTTTATGTGTTTGTATTGTTTTTCTTTTGTTATATGTTATATGGTTATGTTACATCAACAGATCTGCACTACAGAGTCAAGTGCTTTCCCCAAAAATTGCTTACAGATGATGAAAAACTGCTATATTTTCAAGTTTTTCTTCTATATTTTGATAGGTTTTCACTTCATAACTCTAGTCTCTTAAGAGACAGAGTATTGTTTTATGTTTTCCTTCTTTTTACTTAGTCGTGTAAGCTTTGCTTCTTATTACTGTTCTTGAGTTTTGTTGATTTTGTGTTTTTGTTTTTCTGTAAAAATTTGT